TTTGAGACTTCTCCTTGTCTTCTTTCTGCTTTGAAGGTTGTTTGATCTACATGAATTCTACCACTTGGGTAGGACTTGCTGGTTTTGAGACTTCTCCTTGTCTTCTTTCTGCTTTGAAGGTTGTTTGATCTACATGAAAAAAAAAAAAAAAAAAAAAAAAAAAGCCATAAAGCCACTGGAAGTGATTGCGCTGACAGCTTGTGATCACAGGGAAACTTTCAACAGTGCTCAGACCTACTCTGAAAAATATCACTGGGAGTCATCCCCATGTAGACGTGAAAAACCTGTGAAGAGGAAGAAAATGTTATTGGCAGGTAACTGAGTGCAGGTGTATTCGTGGCCATGAAGTGGAAGCTTTTAAAAGTTYTATTAATATTGTATATTGTATTGTATTTGCCACTGAAGGCAAAGATTCTTGTTGAAGATGTAAATAAATGGTCAGATTGCTTCTGATGAACAGATATTAAGGTTCTGTTTTCTGTGAAAAATATAATCTAGTAACATTTGATTGCCATAGAGGATCTTCACTTGTTTGTACTTCGTGGTGCCTGACAAGCTGTAATTGCACTTTGTGTCCCTGTGCCTGCTCCTCACAGACACATCTGAGGTGCCCTGAGCAGGGGGGCTGTGCTGGGTGTCCCTGAGGTGCCACCAAGTGCAGGTGCAGAGAGGGGTTTGTGCTGTGCTGGAGCTGGGGATGGGATGGGGATGGGGATGGGGAATGGGAATGGGGATGGGGATGGGGATGGGGATGGGGATGGGGATGGGGATGGAGATGGGGATGGAGATGGTGGGATCCGCCCCCAGCCCTCCCTCACTGCGTGCAGCGCTGGCCAACTCCAAACTCTGTCAGCTGGTTTAGAAGGACATCCCAGGATCATGGAATGGGTTGGGTTGGAAGGGACCTTAAAGCTCATCCAGTGCCACCCCTGCCATGGCAGGGACACCTCCCACTGTCCCAGGCTGCTCCAAGCCCCAATGTCCAGCCTGGCCTTGGGCACTGCCAGGGATCCAGGGGCAGCCACAGCTGCTCTGGGCACCCTGTGCCAGGGCCTCCCCACTCTCACAGGGAACAATTCCTTCCCAATATCCCATCCATCCCTGCCCTCTGGCAGTGGGAAGCCATTCCCTCTGTCCTGACACTCCAGGCCATTGCAAATATTCTCTCTCCATCTTTCTTGTCAGCTCCTTCAGGCACTGGGTATTTTCTCTGTTGCTGAAGGCATTTAGAGTTTGGGGCCCAAATTTCCTTGCTGAGAATTGAAGGATCAGGTGTGTGAGCCCCCTGTTTTGGGGGGAGATGGTTTGGTTTTTGAGGCACCATGACTTATGTAACTGGTCAGAAGGCTGATAGTAGCCCTGAACATGAGCTGGTTCAATGACTGGAGATTATTCTGTGTTGAAGAGCAAATCAGGAACTATCAGTCCTTTTGTCTGAGAGATTCTCCCTTTTTTTTTTTTGGCAGTACCCTTTCTCTAACTCTTCTCCTCTTCCCGGACTTCAGTGGGGTATTCGCACAGGCCTTTTGGAATATTGTTATACAATGTTGTCAAATAATGCATTTTTAATTCTATTAGTATGATATACATATAGTATATTTTAATATATCTATATAAATATTTAATATTTGTAACACTGAGTGGCAGCAGACTCACAGATTCACAGAATTAGTAAGGTTGGAAGAAATTCCACTGGTTTCATCTGGTGGGATTTACGAGTGGGATTCATCTGGTRCCACCCCCCTGCTCMGGCAGGGCCATCCCCTGAGCAGGGAGGTGGCACCAGATGACTCCASTGTGGTCCYTTCCAGCYTGAACCATTCTGGGATTCTGGCTTATTTCTTCTGGCCAGWTTGATAGCTGAGGGCAAAGTTCAGGCTGTGAGGACATGTACTCCAACTCTGTGTATTCTGCTTTTTGGATTTTGTGTTTTGCTTAATTTTGTAAGAGGTTGAGTTTCAATCTGGCACCCTCAATTCTGAGTTACAAATGTATTATGTAACACAACCAGGCAGTGTTTACCTCAGCTTAAATCCTTTTGGGGTGCAGAAGAATAGCTCTTACTTTATCCTGAAGTGATTACAGGAAAATATTGAGTGATCTTTAGTCTTCCTTCCTTCCTTCCTTCCTTCCTTCCTTCCTTCCTTCCTTCCTTCCTTCCTTCCTTCCTTCCTTCCTTCCTTCCTTCCTTCCTTCCTTCCTT